ATTTGGGTCATGCTTAAAATACTGCAGGCCCTGCGTTTTGTATGGAACAAGGAGGTGAAAAGTGGCTGGGGGCGGGGGGAGAAGGGAAGGGCAGTTCCCAGGGGGATCATATGGATCATTATTCCAGCTTCAAGTTTTCCTGAAAGCTTAGATGTACGGGGAGGGTGGGGGAAGCTGGCTGCTGTTAGCAGCCCTTTAGCCGTGATGGATTTCTCATGTGGTTGTTTACACTGAAGAGTTCAAATAGCGACTTGCTCTGCCTCTGAAACCCTGACTTCTTCCTTATTGTTATTAAAGGGGATGTGGAAGTGATTTCCATGCTCCTCATTAACTTGCAGTACCTCTTAGGGACAGATTGAAACGCGGGGTTCTTGAACTCAGGCCCTCTAGTACAGTGTGTCCAAATGTGTGAACTCCAAATGTGGTGTATCGGGGGAAGCAGGAATGCTTGAGAAGCAGCTGTACATGTGCCATGGCCTCAGAGCTGCCTGTGCATTGGTGCCCTTTGGTGCTTTCTAAATTCATCCTCAAATTTCATGCTCTTCACGCTCCTGGGAATAGAATCACTCGGGCTCTGAGTTACATCAGTGTGGATGGCAACCGTATGTGACCTCTGGGTTTCACAGGCTTCAGCACTTGGTGTTTTTCCCTCCCAAGTGTGACTAGGTTGAAAGGCTGCCTGTCCTTTCAACAACTGCTGCGTGGTTTAGAGGGGAGCAAAGGCATAAGAAAGGGAAAATCTAAATTAGCTGTGATTTTCTGTTGTTAGATCAACATTTCTCCTTGTTTATCAAATAGATGTAACGTATTTGAGCATCCCTACCCCTCCACAGCCCCCTCAGATAGCAAGTGCCAGGCAGCTTTGCTGCCTTCTGCTGCTTTTGTCTTCTGTCCCCTTATTTTTGCTGTGGATTGCAAAACAGAGCAATGTGATTTCAAGTGTTACTGGCTGGTAGATTGGGTATTGCTCTTAATCAGTTAAGACCTATTTAAGTCATCGATTTCTTAACATCCTTTACAGCTTCACACACTAAACACAAACCAGGCAGCCCTGTCCTAATAAACACCTTAGTGACTGGGCAGTGCTCTTAAACTGTTGGAGGTTAATTCAAACTTGCCACAGTATATTGTGAAGGTGGAAGAGGTTAACTACAGGTATTCACTGGGGCTGTTCAGCCTGGAGAAGAGAGGGCTGCCTGGAGACCTCAGAGCAGCCTTCCAGTATCTGAAGGGGGCCTATAGGGATGCTGGGGATGGACTCTTCATTAGGGACTGTAGTGATAGGACAAGGGGTAATGGGTTAAAACTGAAACAGGGGAAGTTTAGATTGGATATAAGGAAGAAATTCTTTCGTGTTAGGGTGGTGAGGCACTGGAATGGGTTGCCCAGGGAGGCTGTGAATGCTCCATCCATGGCAGTGTTCAAGGCCAGGCTGGACGAGGCCTTGGGTGCCATGGTTTAGTGTGAGGTGTCCCTGCCCATGGTAGGGGGGTTGGAACTGGATGATCTTAAGGTCCTTTCCAACCCTAACTATTCTATGATTCTATGATTAAAAATTCATTATAACATTTGAAATGTGCCTCTGCAGGAGCAATTTCTCAGCAATTATTCATTCAAAACAAAAGTTTTAGGCATATTAGGCTTTAACTCATTGTTATTTGATGTTGTCAGTGGAAGGCTAACATTCATATGGCTAGGACCTTGAACCTGCAAATGCTTAATTGTGTGCCTAAGCTCTAAGACAAGGGAAAAGTTCCCTTTGATAACACTTGAGAGCAGTGGGACACCTTCATATCTGTTACACATGCACCTAGGTCTTTGTGTGCCTGCTTTTTCTTTTGTTTTAAACATGTCATCACCTATAAGCAGTGATTATGCCTGGCAAAATTACTCTTTCTGCCCTGAGCTGCACACGAGTTATGAGAACCCCTGATGTTCTTTCATGCTTTGCTGTTTGCATGGTTTGTTTTAAATATGAATGAATTTTCCCCTCAATAATCGCAGGCTCGTTCAGATTACAAACAAAAGGGATCAAGTGACCACAAAACAGAACACGTTTTTATTGTCCTGTGTTTAGAAAAGCAGAACTTTGAGGGTCACAGCTTTATATTGCTTGTATTGAATGGGCTGTCTGAAAATATATGCTCCCTGCAGGTAATTATTGATTGTTGCTGTATTTTCATGGAGATTGGGATTTACTCAGGGGAATTATCTCCAGTGTGTGGTGTCATTTCCCTGTAGCTTTATTCCCCTTAAAAAAGAGTGGAGGATAATGGGGCTCAGTGTGACCTTGGGAGGTCATCTACTCCATCCTTCCGCCCTAAAGCAGGATCAATGTGCTTAAGCCATTCCCAACAGACGTTGATCTAACCCCAGCAGTGTCTTGAGACAGAAAAGCAAGATTACAGAAGATGGAAAGGAAAATGCAGGATATGTCCCTGTAGTTTTCCTTGTTACCTACATCAGGAGCTATCCAAACAGGTCAGTCTGGACGTATCTTATTATGAATGAAAACTCAAATCTTTCAATTCTATACTCTGTCCTGAATAAAACATTGAAGCAAGCTCCAGTAGCATGTATGATGAATATGTACTACTTCATTCTGAAAGTGATATCTTAAGTTGCTGTCACAGCACTGTCACTTTAATTCTATTCAGCATACATTCATTGCAAAGTTGTCCCAATTCCTTCATCTACTCCTGAGTAAAATGAATCTGTTTTCAGCATTATCCAGCTCCAGAAAAAAATATTCAGTTGATCCATAATGCTGAATAGTTCCTAGGATTGTCACCAGCCCTTGAACCTCCTAAATCACAGGTTTACTACTACAACTCTTCACAGTGTTGCTACCACAATGGCACTAGATAGGGACCTTACAGCTCATCCAGTTCCAACCCCTGCCACAGGCAGGGACCCCTTCCACTAGAGCAGCTTGCTCCAAGCCCCTGTGTCCAACCTGGCCTTGAACACTGCCAGGGATGGGGCAGCCACAGCTTCTCTGGGCACCCTGTACCAGCGCCTCAGCACCCTCACAGGGAAGAGCTTCTGCCTAAGAGCTCAGCTCAGTCTCCCCTCTGGCAGGTTCAAGCCATTCCCCTTGGCCTGTCCCTACAGGCCCTTGTCCCAAGCCCCTCTCCAGGTTTCCTGCAGCCCCTTTAGGCACTGGAGCTGCTCTAAGGTCTCCCCTGGGATACGAATACTTACAATATGGAAAACTTCCAATATGAATTGTATGTTATAGATATTTTTACCTTAGATTTGAGGCTTATCCTTAACATAGGCAAATTTCAGTAGCTCTTTAAAGCTGAGTTTATTTTCCATTGCAGTGACTCTGCTGAAGGGTTTTAGGACCTAAGATGGATTGAAGGTCCATTTTACATTCATAAAGAAATTCTTCATTGCTTTGGGCAGTCCTCAATATAAAGAGGGGTTCTGACCCTCCTGGAAGTGTATTTTGTGTGCTGTAGCACAGCACCAGAGCATGTGATATGAGAGCCGGTCACTAACTCACTTCACCTCCAGCAAGTCTTTGTGTATAAAACTTAGGCAAGAAAGGTTTCACAGATTTCTGGAGATGACTTAAAACCCAATCTATGCTTCCAGAAGGGGTTTTAAGCACCTTTGATAGCTCCAGTTTATAGGGTACTTTGTGTATCTGAAACACAAGCTGTTCCTGCTAAGCTGTGGCTAAGCCCCGATGATGATGATGATGATGATGATGATGATGATGATGATGATGATGATGAACCACCTCTCCCTGTGCAGCTATGGAGCTAGAGTGTGCTGCCATCCCACTGACCTCCAGGCATTTGGCAGTGTCTTGTCTGTGTGTCTTGCTTTGGTTGGTTGGGGTGTGTATGTGGGGGAGATTTACTACCGCAAGTAAATGATGCTCCGTGCTCCTAGGTGCAATCCTGCACCAGTTTAGAGTTGGTATTTCATTCCGTGTTCACTAAGGTGGTGAAAACATGCCCAGGCTTCCCAGGAGAGGTCAGGGAGAGAACAAGGGTAACCTATTTTGTCACCTCCAAACCTTGGTGTCCACACAGTGCACGTGGAAAACGTTAACATAACTTCTCCTTCTTGCAGTTAGTGCACCCCCATCATCTCTGCTGCCATTTTTCCCTTCTCTTATCTTTAATGGGGTGGGGAGGGAGATCATACAAATAGCTGTATACACTATAGCTTATATGCACTGCAATCAAACCCTGCAATAAAATGACCTCATAGGGTGTGTATCATTGTATGGCAATGTCTTCGGTTGGCAGGGTGAGAACTTTGACCTCTCAGTGAGAAGCAACTGTGCTCATTAGTTGGAGAAAACATTCAACAGATGGGCCCTAATCTGCTACACGATAAAAGCAGAGCCCAATAGCAGCAGTTACTGTGGGCTGTAGGGCCTTCAGCTTTGCATAAGGTAGTTTCATAGAGGCAGAATATATAAACCTACCTTTGAGGTACTGGTGTTTTTTCCAGCCTTTTTTCCATGTAGTCCCCTTACCCTGTTAGATGTGTGTCCCCTCTCCCTTCATTTAACTAAGAGTTTGGGATGGTTGAAATGCATGCCATGAGCATCGTGGATTTGGGACATATTTTTCAGTGTATGAGCATTTAAATCACTGTAATGTGTGCCTGATGGTTTAGCTCCTGCAAGCAGATTATCAGCTTCTCAGTGCATGTACTGCATGGCTTTGAAACAACGGTGGCACAGACTGTTCTTATTCTTTGCTTCATAGTCTTTGCTCCTTTATTGACATGAAACAAACATTTCCATTGTTGGCAGCATCAGTAACGAAGGCATCAGTAGCTACAGTGCTGAAGACCTAACGAACCCAAATTCAAGCCTGGTGTCTTCCGAGGTGACGGGGGAGAACACTACCTCAGAAGAGCAAGGAGGACAAACAGACTCTCAATGCTTAAAGCAGGCTGCAGGAGCAAGGGAGAGAAGTCTGCCTTTCACAGGTGCCAAAGAACGTGCCACAACACATCTTACAAGCAGCAATAAGTTACCAACCTCAACCTGCAATGAAGCAGTGATGCCACCAGGTCCAGTCAATGACAAAGAAGAGGGGATAACACCTTCCAAATCCATGAACAGAGGCCCTAAATGTGACACTATTGCTGCCACTTGTATGGAAACCAGTGAGAATGACCCCAGCAAGCCAAGCCTGAGGTCCAGCCCTCCTGCAGTAATCACAGCAATGCAAGGAGCCTCACAAATGAGTCTGAGTGAATTAAGAGGGCTCTGTCAGTGCGAGCAGCTGGGTGGCAGGAGGGACCCACATGTCAGCACGTGTCCCCAGGGTACAGAAGCAGGGGATTATATCCCTGCTCAGGAGGCCAAGCAGGAGCCAGGAGGTTTGGAAGCAGGTCAGCCGCAGGCTGTGATGCAGCAAGGTAGACAGGACCCAGATGGTGGGGAGGGTCTGCTAATGAAAGAAGAAACCTTAATCCTAAATTATCCAGCAACAGGAGGCTCAGACAGTGAAAAATGTGGAGCAATTGTGAACGCTCAAGGCTTCACAGACATCAGTGAAGTCTGTAATCTACAGATAGGGGTTGAAACCACAGCTAAAGAGAATGAGGCAAATCCAGCTCTGTCTGCAAGCAAAGGGGAGCAACAGCAACCAGAAGCCTGTACTTTCATGTTGCCTCCTAACCCTGTCCTCCTGGTACCAAAGCCTGAAGAGCCTTCGAGGGAATATGTGCCTGGAAATGGCTCTCAAGATGCAGTGAGGAGCGAAGTGGTGAAAACAGCCTCTGACAAAAACAAACCCCCTTGTCAAAGAGAGCTTCAAAAGGAGGACGAGCTTATTAGTGCTGAGCATTCCATTCTGCCTTTATCATTTCAGCGAGAGGGAGAACAAAACTCAGCCGTCACAACTGAAAGCCCAAAAGATGAAGCCAGTAGCAATGAAATTATAAAAGCTGAGGCTGTGTCTAGAGAAAGCACCGCTCTTTCTGAAGCAGAACTTGTTATCAATCCCACCACTGTAGATCACAGGTTATTGCTGGAGGAATATGCATTAAGCGCTTCTTTGAACAGATCCACAGAGCTGAGTCAAAAGGAAACCAAGGCGAATGTAACGGGAGAGAGAGATGAAATCACAACAGACGTGACAGAGAGCAATGTGTTACCTGAGGGGTTGAGTGGGGCACAAGGACAGCTGTTGAACCCTGGTAGTAGCGACCACCAGGAAATGGAAAATACCCTGTTGGGACACAATCCTCAAGTATCGGGTCTTTGTGAAAAGACTTCAACAAGTGACCCAAGGGAAGAAGCTGGGGCAAAGCCTCTGAATTTAGGCTTTAAATCACCCAATGACAATTCACAGCCTCTTGGTTGTGAACCTGACCAACAAATGAGTAAAGGGAAAACAGATGCCACAGACCCGGAGAAGAAGCCTGTGGCTTCCCCACAGTTTCCAAGGCAGGAATGCCCACTGGGGTTTGATTGCTTTAACACTGAGACAGAAGACAAAACTTCAGGCCAGCCAGGCTGTAATGGGACTGACCAAGTTTGTTTAGCCAGTGCATGCAGTTCACTGCCCCTCCGCTCTGAGAACAATCATATTAAGCAGAGTAAGCAGGGTGAGCCCTGGGAAAAGGCTCTTGCTGGAGAAACTGTGCTGGAATCTGACTCCAAATCAAAACCCAAGCTCCAGGGCTTAAAAGAGTTGGCAGGGCCTGTGGACCGCGTGGCTCTACAAGCCAAGGAGAGCTCATGGGTTTCAGACAGCAAAGAACACCACAGTCACACCACAGCAGTGCCTTGCAGTGATTCAGAGCAGGGACCTGCAGCTGCGCAGCGTGGTGCTGTGGGTGGTAATGAAAATGAGGGTATTCGACAAGAGAAGCACCAGGCTGGGGGGGAAGGCTTGGTGGAGGACAAAGATTTGGCACTGAAAGGGAAATGCAAATGGGATGCGCTGGTGCCAGCTCAGCTGGAGCAAGTGGCTTGCTCGGAAGCCACCCAAGCTGATGTTGGCACTTCAGGACTAACTCCTCACATGGAGGAAGGGGGTGACAGCTGTGTCAGTGATAACTACTGTCCCTCAGAGGGTGGCACATGTGGCTCTTTGGAGGCCTTGGAGTGCAGTGTTGGAGAACTGCAGGACCATGCAGATGTTCCAAGCGCTCTTCCCCATGCAGACCAAGTGGAGAGGTCAGTGCCTGCTGCTGGGGACAGTGGCTGGATTTCAAACACAGGACTTGAACAACAGCAGCACCAAAGCAGTTTGACAACTGTCACAAGAGCAGATGATGAGGAACACAAAGAAAGGGCAGTAAAACCTGAATTGCCATTAGAACTTAATAATCACAGCAGCACACCAGAAACACCTCTAGATGTTTCAAACAACCTTAATAAAGGTGATCCAGTGACTCCGGACACAGCGACAGGAAAGGACAAGGATGACAGCAGCGGTGTGGTGTCGGAGATGTGTGAACACGGGCAAAGTATTTCTGGTGTGGCCATGCTTGATTTGCAAGATTGCAATGAGCAAAGCAAAACTGATCTCAAGGCAGAAGAAAACTGCTGCAGTCAGCACAACCCCAACGAGCCCGAGCAGGGTAATCACTCTTTGATCTCAGCTAGTCAGCATGAAGCAGCATGTCAGAGCGATACGTCTGCTAAAGGGTCTGACAAGAGTGAGCAGCCAGGCAGGATAGAGGAGAATAGTGGTGAAAGCCATGCTGCTGCTGCTGCTGTAAAGGCTCTTCCAGGGACAGGGAATTCAGCAAGTGCCACTAACACGTCACAGGCTTTGCCAAGTGGTATGGAACTAGCGCATACCTCTGATAATCCCGGGAAAAATGATCCTCAAATATCTCATACAGAAACTCAAGGGAAAATGCCATTCATGGCAAAGAACCTCAAAAAGACTCTTACTGGTGATGGGGGAGTCACCCAGAGTGATGGAGACATGGAGGAAAGTGCTGCTGCCACAGAAACAAGCAATGTGAAGGGTGATAAAAGACCAGGGGCACAGGGAGGTCCTTCACCACTGCAGGCACACAGGGAAGCAATTCCCACCGATAAGTTGTATAAACCCAGCTGCCTTCAAAACACAGCAGAGGAGCCTGGTTCTTGTCAAGCAGATTTTATAGCCCTCTCTGCACTCGGCCATCCTGGCCAGCAACCTGGAAACCACGCAGCCAGTGGTACCGGGGGGGAAGCACTGAATAACGAGCTGGAAGTTGTAGCATGCCAAAATGCCTTAGAAGGGAACCCCAATCTAGAGATTGATGCAGGTTCTCAGGGGTCTGTGCATGCAGGTCCCTCACCTAGTGTAGGCACAGGTAGACCAGCAAATCCAGACAGCTCTGAAGGGGGTAGGTGTGTGAATGAAATAGATGTTCCAGACCGAGGTTTTCAGGGCGATGGAGACAGGAGTTCAGCCCTGCCAGAGACTGTAAATGTGGGGCAGAGGACTGCAAACTTATCGCAGTTCAATTCTGAGAAGCTGAAGGAAGAAATCTCTGCAATTAAATCCCCCCAAACAAAAAGTGAGGTAAACTTCAAAGCCCAGCAAAGTGACAGTTCAGCAGAGCCTCTGCGCGCGCTCCCCACTCTAGAAGGGAAGCTGCTGAGCCTTTCATCATCACAAGAAAGCCGTAATGAGGAAATTGCATCCAGCATGGGCGTAGATGACAGGCACGGTGAGATCTTAGAGAAACCTGGGAATCCAGGAGAAATGGAAGAGCTTTCAAAAGAGAATAATAACATAACTGGGGCAGAGCTCAGCGCTCCCGAGCAGGCTGCAGGGAGCTCTGGAAGGGAGCATGAGGCTCTGACTTGCCACTCCCTGGACATCGGCTCCAGCTTCCCAGACTTTAGGCAGCACATCAGCCAGATATTTAAAAGCACCGTGCACAGCACACTGAGTGCTGAGTTACCCCAACGGCTGCCTGAAAACCATGCAGGCTTCAAGCAGAGGCCGGTGGCCACGGATACAGGAGGAGTGTGCGGTGCTGAGAACTGTTCAGGATCAAACAAGGTGGGCGAACGAGCTCCCGAGGGCACCTCAGAAGCAGAGGGGCAAGAGCTGCCTTTAGCTCCTGAGGCTTCCTGCAGAGCTGGCAAAGGGGAATCTCTGCAAGGAGGAAACGCAGCGGCAGAGCTGCCAACGGCAGGTCTCCAGGATGCTGAGGAAAGCAAGCAGCCCGGTAGGTGTTTAGAAGTGGTTCCTGCATTGGATGGCAGCACACCTGCTGAATGCCCTCTGGAACATCAGCGAAAGCCAGAGCAAACCACTGAGCATCCAGAGAGCGGCAAGATGGAAGGAGAGGAAGGCGCGTGTGCGAGTGGTGCTGATCCCGAACCGCTAATAAGCTTAGGGATAAAGAAGCAAGGACCAGCTTCATGTGGTGGGGCAGCAGCTGAGAACTTCCTTGCATGTTCTGACAGTAAGCAACAACCCACTGGAGCTGCCACCTCGACAGGCAATGCGCAGAAGAGGGACTTAGAAGATGCTGCTACCGCAGAGGGAAATAACTTTATTACAGAGTGTAACACAGAACCAGTTTCATCTGAAGAGGATGTAAATCTTCCTACTGAACAGTGCCAGGATCCTAAGGCAAACGAGCAGGAGCAAAGCGAATACGGTGATGTGGATGTTGCCAAGAGCATCTCTGATATGGCAGCTTCAACACTTGTCCCAGGAGGCTCTTACAATCATGACAAATTGCCAGGCAATTTTAATGCATCACCTGGGGGAAATCAGGAGACCCACGTTCGCAGCAGTTTCGTGCATGATAGTAAGTCTCAGAATGCCGTGCAGGGGATACAGGATGATCCTGTGAATAGGAAATGCTTGGAAACGTTGGAAAATCCACAAGATGCACAGCAAGAAAAGAAAGGGACCGTGCATGGGTTAATAGATTACTTAAAAACCGAAGTAAGCCAGGATGATTGCTTGCAAACTGACTCTACAGTAGAACCTAGCGATATAACTGAGGGAGATGTGAAAGAGAACAGTGACACGGTGCTGAGCACAACAAAGGCAGGTAACATAAAAACTGGAGACATCCCTGGAACAGGTACTGCAAGGATGTTAGTCACTGGTGAAGGTGACTTGGCCATAAACACGAGCACTGAGGAGCAGGACACAGACCTGCACAAAAAGCACTCCCCAGCCACTCCTGTGATGGAGCAGAGTGAGGGTTCTGCACACACAGATCTCACTGATGCTGAAAATCAGGCGAGCAGGACGAATCCAGAAGATGAAAGCTCACTTCAGGATGCCACAAGAAAGCTATCCCCGCTTGCCTTGGCTGAGCCTAAGAACCTTGACTTCACTGAACTGCAAGAAACCGCTGTGGCAGGATTACCTACTGAAAGGTATTTACTTTAAATTACTATGTGGAATGGTTGTCAGGACCCTGGGGCTTGAGAGGGATGCAGTTATCAAGGCAGATACCCATCATCCGGGTGGCAGAGGGGTCCTAAAAGCCAAGGAGCACAATCCTTACCTGTTCCATCTGCTGGTCCAGTTCCTGCCCTTACCTGTGTGGCTTTGCTTAACGCTTCCCAGTGTTCACATCTCATAGCCTAAAGTTAGGCAAACAAATAGCACTTCCTAGCCTTAAGTCAGTAGGCTTTTGCCAAAGTTTTTGGTGACCCAGTTAAATGAGACCTGCCGCATTCACATGGTGGAGGGGAGTATTTAAACTCAAGCCTGCAGTACAACCTAATTACTCACACTGTTAGTTGTCTGGGCCGCCCTCTTATCCTCCCATATAATATAATTGTATTGACAGCGCCTTTGATCCCTGTGTTATTCAGTGTTCCTAATGACACGGAGTTGTTTCAGATGTGAATTCTTCTGAGCAGGGATTTGTGGGGCCTATGAGTAATGGAGTGTCTATTTCCCAAACCTAGCAGTAACTGCTTTAATAAAGTTCAGGCACTTTTGGGGTGAGTTTTCACTTGGCTGTCTGCATTCTCAGTTCGATACGGAGTTAATTCAAAGCATTCTGATCTCAGAGCAGGTGACTCCCCTTTATCTGACCACAGCACTGCTTCCTCTGTAACCTCAGCTGCCTTCTTGCAGGCTGTCCCTCTCCTCCTTCTAGGAGGAGGCAGCCACAGCTACTAAGAGACAACAGCAGAGAGAAAGGTGCAGTGAAACCTAAACTGTTCCAGACAGCCTCAATGAATGGTATGTGTAGATGGAATCTAAGTACTACCAAAAAACTGGATGATATTAGCTGAATAAGGAGGGGAAATATCTGAGTGCTGCATTCCTTCAAGGTTCAAGTGATAAAACTGTTCTAAGTGAAAATAACTGAAGTGTTTCTGTTGTGAAAATGGGGGGGTTCTTCTTGTTCTGTATCAGGGATGGAGACTGAATATGACCTAATTGTGTGACCACAGTGTATATTAGAAGACCATTAGAAGTGTTGGGAGTCTGAACAGCTCTCTGACTTTCTCTTTAAGGATCTACCTATGGAACAACAAGGAAATTAGACCCTATTACTTCTCTCTAGCTCCTTTCTTTCTGTTTCCCTTTCTATGATGGGAAGCTTCGCAGTGGGCAGAATTGAAATTACCAACCAAATCACTGGCCAGGCCTGGTTCAGAACCCTTCAAGGACTACAGGGCAGTACATGCATGTGTCTACACATGTGTTTGCTATCAGGGTGGGTATCATCCTTTATATAAATACCTGTGGCAAGCAGGGCAGGGCTCTTGAAACAGCTGCTGGCAATCCATGGAGTGGTTGCTTAATGCTTGCGTATGCCTTAGGAATTCATTATCACCTGTTTCTGCAGCATGAGGGTTTGTATCAACAGGCAGCTGCTCCTCTGGGTGTCACACACATACCCAGTGTGCATATACACGCAGGAGGTGCTGCAGGCAGAGCCAAATGTGATTGCAGCTCTGTAGACTTACACAATGGGGACCCTCTGAGGTGCAGGGGAGTCTCTGCTTTTGATCAGGCTTGTTTCTTAAAGGAATAGGTATTTATAATACAAAAGAGCATCATTTATATTATATATATTATATATATATAATATATATATATAACAGCATTAGTTGAGCTGGCTGCTCTGTCTTCTTCATTGGCTCCAACACACTGGCAGGTCTGAGCTTAAAACTGAGTTTGTATAGTTGAAATTCAAGCTGTATTCCATACCCTGTGTATTCCAGTCACAACACTTATTACTGCAGAGTGGTTTCCAATTGTTTATTGCCCTATAATCCTTGCAGACAACAAATTCCTATAGCCATGCAAAACGAGATGCGTGTTTCTGAGAGGCTGTGGGGATTTGTGCCTGATGGAAAGAATCCCAGGGAGGGAGAATGAATCTTCCCCAGCTCTCAAAATAAATAGCAGTAAGAAGTATGTTTTACTTAGAAGATTGAAATTACACGTTCTGCATTATTTCAGCATTGTTTTCCATCCCCTCCAGTGCTTCTGTATAGCTTCATCTCTTGTGAGATCTTTCACATTGGAACCCCATTGAATGGTGGGTGAGGGAGCAAAGCTGTGTGACCTGACTCTAAATCCTTGTTAGGATTTCTTCCTGTAGAGGGAACAGGAGAATTTCTTCCCTTTGTGGCTGTGCCACTGAGAGGACAGTGGTGAAGAGCAGACCCAAGAACTGTCTGTGGTAACTCCTGCCCCTACCTCCTTCAGGAGTGGGACAGTGGTCACTAGTAAGAACAGCACCAATAACTTCCCTTTAACCTGCAGTGCAAAGGACAATTATTTTTGGCAAGGATGTTGTGCACTGAAAAGGAGTGAAAAATAACCCTTTCTTTGATGGTTCTGACATTTCTCTTTACTGACTCTGTGACTGAAAACTTGTGCTTGTGATGGCCACATATGGGCATCAAAATGTCATCCTTCCCACTTACTGTTGGGCATCCAGCTGCTCCCTTTTGCTTAGAAAGGAAGACAAGGACTTGATTTCTTTTCTCCTATTGTAATGTATACACCCATATGTCTTCATTCTCTTATGGAGCGGCAAAAGAGGTTAATGTATGTACAGGGAGTCCTTATACCACTGAAATGCTCCTGTTTGCATCATGGCTATGGCAGGTATTGAGCAGATCATGGAGCACAACTGGCAGTGATGGCAAATTTTCAGGGATGTTTAGAGGTGGCGTTGAGTTTCCTGATAACTTCCTGCAGTTCATCCAGCTGGTACATGTGGAATGCCATCATCTCTCGGGAAAAGTGCCGAGAGAGCTTTTTGAAGTGGAGGCTGTGAAGTCATTCCCAGATGTGTATCTGTAAGGTTCATAGAACAGATTGCATCATGCGCTGATTTGTTGGCTTGGCAAAAGGTTCGGGTTATCAACAGGCCTTTGGGTGTTGAAGAGATGTTCATAGAGGCTGCTTGGGCTGGGTGTGCTAGCAAGGGAGGAGCACAGGGAGCAGTAAGCACACTGCAAGCAGTGACACTCACTCTGCAGTAAGGTGAGGTGCTCTGCAACCCTCAGCAGAAGGTGCTGTGCTCACTGTGCTAAGCAATATGCCCTTCACATGCCTCAAATGCAGGAGGGCACTGCACAGATTTGGCATTAGCAGAGGTCCTGGTGCTCCTGCGGAGCAAGCTGACCTGCTGGAGCTTATGCTGCAGAAGCAATTCTTATTCCGGCCTGTCCGTGTAAATGAAGACACACAATGCAGCGCTTTCACATCTGTACTCATGCAGGTGCTCATTCTTGTTCTATAGTGCTTGAACCTTATTCCCTGTCTGTACTTTGACCTGCTCCTCACTATATGAGTGACACATAAAGCTACCTGTACAGGGAGAGGAGGATGTGGCACTGAGCTGTTCGGGGGACAAGGGTTTCCTAACAGTTTCAGCACCATAAAAAACACCAGGAGGGTCCTTTCCCACTATAGCAAAGTATTGTAGGCACTCTCGTTGTATCCTGGAATTGTTCAGGTTAAAGGGACCTTAAAGTTCATCCAGCTCCAACCCCTGCCACAGGCAGGGACCCCTTGCACTAGAGCAGCTTGCTCCAAGCCCCTGTGTCCAACCTGGCCTTGAACACTGCCAGGGATGGGGCAGCCACAGCTTCTCTGGGCACCCTGTGCCAGCGCCTCAGCACCCTAACAGGGAGGAACTTCTGCCTAATGCACTAATGCGCTGTGCATAGGTCAGATGAGATCTCTAATGTGGGTCCAGATGTACTTCTGGATTTGCTTCATGCTTTGTTCTTGCCATCAAAAATTGGCCAGTTCAGTAAGTCAGAAAAGAATGTTCACTCCTTAGCAAATACAGGCTCGGTCTTTTTGGTCTGCTTAACAAACACGGTATTAAATATTTTAACAGCCTTGCTGGATGAGGTATGGAACATAGAACTGCTTTTCAGATCAGTCAAGTGGGTTTTGAGCACTAAGGCTTTGTGTTGTTAATGTCTGAAAACAAGAGTTTGGAGTTAAAAGGAAACTTACCTAAACAGTGATTATACAGCTTTATTTATCCTTTAACTTCCAAATTAACTCAGGTGTGCAGCATCTCAGGATCACAAAACAAAGGGGAAAACAGCTGAAGGTGATTCACACATCAATGACATGCATAAAATTCATCAGGCTATTTGTCTCTCCTGCCCTTCTCCCTTTGCATCTGAATTCTGTCTCTTTATTTCCCTCCCATCTTACTTGTCCCTGCTGTCCTCAGTAGGTGCAAGTTAGTACAGTTGTGCTTTTGGAGACACAAGCAGCTCAGCCTGCCGCCCCTGACTCCATTAACAGGATGGGGAGCTCAGTGTGTGAAATCTGTGATGTTTTGTTACTTTTCTGCTCATGGAAGAGTAAATTGAGGATAATTTCACTCTTACCCAGCAGACATCTCGCATCGCTTTCTAAGGAGTTAAAGGGAGTTTTATCACCTACTCTAAGGGCTGCCATTGACTGAACTGATGCTGTTGTAGGCAGTGTGTAAGCTATTAGTGTAAAGCAGCTGTGGCTGCCCCATCCCTGACTTGGAGCAAGCTGATTTGAGTGCTGATTTGATAGTACACCCTGTTGTACTCAAAGCACACACCAATGGAAAACTAGGTCTGTGATACCCTGCCTGTTACCTTCTAATTCTATTTACATATGCCTCTGGTATACAAAAGTACAGAATTAAATCATCTCTGGTCCTGCCAAATTGCTGACACTTCTTGCTGCATTGAAAGCATTCGGTACCACTCATGAGAACTATAGCCACTTGCTCATGAGGGAGGCATTGACATGGGTGGATGATACACGAGCTGCTGTTTCAACACATCCTTCTGTGTTTCTCAAGAAATTAAAGTTATTCAATCAAGTACAGGCGTTTGCTAAAGGAATCCAGCATGGGGACTGTAATACTTCGTCCAATATCTAGCCAGGT